GTCTGCTGGTGACTAATGATGTTTGCCCAGTCCTATCATTGACTGTAGAATTACTAATCTTTGGAAGTTTAGCAGTTGTCCATTAGTCGAGGCAGCAAGAAGAGGAGGCCTAATGGATGCAAAAAGCTGAATTTATCTCATCTCACTTGAGACATCGCAGGTCATCGGTTGTAGTCAACTGGCACTCTGAGATGTGATTCATTTCATCTTGAAATGAATGTGAAAAGGTGTCTAACTCTGAGATGTCTGCAGTGAGGTGAGAGCAACCCTACCCAAAGGGGCTTTCTGGATGAATGCTAACAGACTTTGCCGGGTCTTTGTAAATCACGTTGTGAATCTCCACACTGTTTACTACCTTCATTTCCCAGTGCTGGGAACTGTAAACTGTAAATCCCAGATTGAAAGAGTGGGATTTATCCCATGCTAAGTTTTCCTTTATAGGCAATGAAAAAAATCAGTTGGATTTTTCAGCACTCTTCATGTGTCTTAATTTGTATGTTTACTTATCATTAGCTGGTCTGTGCCCTCAGTTTTGTTGATTGCAAAGAGGGTATAGGTTAGCTAGATCAGCTGTTGCCATCTGCTTTCATTCAGATGCCATGCTGGGAGACTCAGAGGACTGGAGCTCTTGGCCACGTTGTCTAGGGAAGGTAAACAAATTTTGGGCTTGAACCTGGAATATTCAAAGGATGGTGCCACAGCTCAGTTCAGGTAAGGTGTGATGTTCTAAAGGTGGGAAACTAATACGCAAATATGCTGATCATTGTCTGCCTTGGCAATCTCAGTGGAGCTACGCTGGATGGTGTTATTCAGACCTGTGAGATGTTTCTTGTAGGCTGCTATAAATAGGTACACTAAATGGGCTGAAGTAGGTATAGTATTTGTTTTCCTTATATAGAGGCATTTGGGGGGGGGTGCTTTTTACCTTTCAAATTAATGTGATATTTTATTTCTTTTTTATTATTGCAGTGGTGCGTGGTGGGAAGACAAGGCGCAGTGGGCATAAATTGAAACAACAAGGGGTCCAAATGGATTGAGACAGTCAGGTATTGGAACCGGTTGCCCAAAGAGGTTGTGCAGTCTCTGTCTTTGGAGATTTGCCTGGATAAAGCCCTGACCTCATAACTGACCCATTTTGAGGAGTAGGTTAAACTAGAGACCTCCTGAATTCCCTTCCAACCTGAATTATTCTATGATAAAAAAATTACATGTGTTAATATACAAAAGTTATTTCCATACATGTTTTAAAGATCATTAAGACAATGTCAGTTTGGTTTGATTCAATCATCTGCCTCAAAATATAGAAAAGTTTTTGAGGAAAGAGTAGAACAGTTCTACAGAAGCTTTGAACTGCTGTTAACTAAATGTTTCCTTATTCAGTTCTAGAAAGATTTGTCTTATCTGCTGGAAATTCAGATGTAGAAAGATGCAACACAGCCCAAGTCTACCGTAGTAACTTTGGGTGGTGCAGTTGGCATGCATATTGATGTTCTTGGCTCCTGAAATAATTACTGGAGATACAAACAGCTGGATCAGTCCAGAGTCCCTAGCTTTGCTCCAGGCATTGGATATTATCACTGAATAAGATGCAAAATTGTACAAAAATCAACTACATTGAAGACAATAATAACATTTCAGTTGTTCCAATAGGACAAGGCTTTTCACATACAGTCTTCAAACAACTGCTATTCCAGTTACTTAAGAGATAATTTCTGTGCATATTATGAAAGCCTTTTTAAACCAAAGGGACGGTTTTAACAGACAAGAATTACAATCATCCAAGCTAAAGAAAAAAAAAAAAAAAGTAATAAGGTAATCCTGGCCACTCTGATCATACTAATTACTTTGGTCATGCTGATCACAGTAATTGTCAACATGTTTCCACCTCTTTCCGTAATAGATCATGAAGCCAGGAAATCAAATAATTGAGAACAACTTTTATTCATTAACTGAAGATTGAATTGGGGTGATTGCAATAGCAAGAAAAGGAGAGAAAACATCTTTGACAATAACCTTGTTTCCTAGTCTGTCTCAATGAATATTCCTAAAGAGAAACACATTTGGAAGAAAGCAGCCTTACTTCGGAAAGCTATCTAGCTACACATTTTGGTATTTGAGAAATAATTCCTAGAAAATACATTTGACAGCTAAAAAAAAAACCATAAATGCTTTTTTTGTTGTTCTTATTATTATTCTTCAATCATGTTGATTTCATTCAGTATTCTCTGGTCTTCAGTCACTTGAAGGATAAGAAAGCTTTTCATTTTAAAAAGATATTAAATGTCACATTATTTCGTAGGTATTTCAAGTCTTGAGAAAAGGCCAAAATGATACTTTGTTGCTTCTGTGACATCAAGGGCAAAAATGGTTTTGCATTAACATTTTTTTACTTCTTTTGGTCAAATTGCTAAATCTAGCCCATACAAAAAACTAAATACATTTCAGCTGTACTTGGTATGCTATCCTCCCTGAGATTAGGAGTAACAGAAATTATTTTTGGGATATTTTTAAAGATGCTTGAATGAATCAGGAACATTTTTCCTAGATTACTCTATTTTTAATAGTCATTAGATTTTATTCAGGACAGGGCTGAGTAGCTCAGAATTGCCCATGAATGAAAAGTGTAGTTTAGGCTTCTACTCCATGGCTTGCAGCTGCTATCAATGGAAATTTTGCTACTGACATGTGAGACAGCAAGCACAAGACTTTATTTCCTTTCCTTAATGTTTGTTCACCTGTGGAGCAATTTATAAAACCACCTGTACCAGGAAAAGCTCCCTTGCCTGGTTTTTAGCTCTGGCTAAGGACATGCAGACTCTATGCGCCCTCATGTTTTCTTCTATTTCCCCATCCTTGGCTTTAGCCAGTAACATCTTGTCTTCCTAGATTTTGCTCTGCCTTCTAATAGTCTTGAGGGAGAACAGTGTGACAATCAAAGTTTCTTTTCTGGGATTTGAAAGATCGTCTCATGGAAGAGAGAAAACTCTTGCAGAAAACAGCAAAGAAATCTGCAACAAACCCAGAATTTTAATGGCGAGATCAGATTTTTTTTGAGATCAGATAAACTTTTATGGAAGTGCTGTGTAGAGGGATGGGTATGTTTGGATGATTTGGCACAAAGCAGAATAAAGTAATTATTGTATTCCCTCCGTGCATTGCACAGAAATTGTGTCATTTCATGCATCATTCACAGCTCTTATTACTGATACCACAACATCTAAATTACTCTGAGCGTAGACGGAACAAATACCATTTTGGCTAGCTGAAGACCTGAAAACTTGGGAGTGGATGTTATTGTTTTCATTTTTGCTATAATGCTACACACAGCTTCCAGGCTGTTAGCTTGATCTTGAAGAGTGTAAAATAATGAGTATTCTTGCCTGAATGTCCTATTTCTTTTCCAGAAAAGTTGCTATTTTGTGCTGGAAGCAAGGATTATTTTTCGTATTTATAATTTTGTGTGCTTATTTAATGGGACAGGCAGGCAGACTACAAAAGTGAAGAGATTTCTCTGCAGTTAGTTTGTCACTGGCCTCCAGCCGTTGTTCTCATGGCAATGGTTTCCTACAGTTCAGTAATGTGAAGACAGTTGAAATAATGTTGTATCTGAGGAGAACTGAAATGGCATTGCATGGTAGGGGAAGATACAGGGAGTCAGCACACAGGTGGTAAAATTATTTATTTTCAATAAAACAAAGCCTCTTGATTCGGACTTCATGTTTTCCTGGGATGTCGCATATAGTGCCTGGAAAGGAAAGGTGGAAGAGCAGGTCAACTGGCAGTTGTCCAGTGAGGACAGCTTAAAATTTCCAAGATAAGCTCTGACTGCTAGTTATGGAGTCAACTTTGAAGGACACATTGAAGTGGTGGTGGCAGCTTCTGGATGGAAAGACCTGTGCCTCTAATGTGATGTTCTTCCCTGCAGACTCAGCAGTGATCCATCCTGGGTAAAGTCCTCAACCAGATGGGATCATTTCACAGTCTGCAGGTGGGACTGCACTGACTCAGTAGCTCCATGACTTTCTACTGAATCAACAGTGTCTTCCTAGAGGTCATAATCAAAGAAAATATTTTAAAGAAATCTCCTTACAGAGCTTTTGAGTGAGTTTAGCACAAGGATGGAGGTCTGGATCATCTTACTTTATGTACTGTTTTCGTTTTTTTCACTGTCAATACACATGCACTTCATGGCCTTGCTTTGAAGCTTTTCACAGTGTTAAGGTAGAAGATTGGATTCACTGTACTGCCAAAGTATGGACTCAGGCAGCGTTTAGTTGAATGGATCCTACCCAATACCTGACCAAAATTCTCTATTAAATAATGCAAAGTATTTTTCTAGTATAATCTCACTTTTGTTGTTCTGGCAAGCGGGCATAAAATATAAACTTCGTGCTTGATACTTGTCAAGCATTTTTGTCCACCATGTCAATCGGTACGGACTATGGGTCATGAGTTAAATCTTCTGATGCCTGGACACTGCTCATTCCTGTGCTGACACCACCAGCGTGGTTATCCATCTGAGTATTTACATCGGCACTAGTTAATTTAATACTTGGTCCTTCTGTTGCAGACGCAGTTTCCACATATTTGATGTTGTTGCAGTTTGACAGGTTTTACTGTCCCATTTCCAAATACCGGGTTAAACCAGCACCTTATTTTTTTTCTGAATAATAGCTCAAGAGCATTTAGGATAACAGGTGTTTTAAATGAGGTGCTCTAAATACACTCTTAAGTTTATAGAGGTCTGCCCACATCCTGTCAGATACACATAATTTAAAGAAAAATACTGAACAGACATCTCACTAAAAAAGGTATTGATCATTTTTTTTTTTTTTCCTTTTTAGAATCTGATGGCTCGAAAAGTTTATTATTAGCCATGCATAGGCAACCAGTTGTTTAATTTTCATAACTTACCTGTTTTGGAGTTACTTGACTTCCTTTCTACTTGTTTCTATTATTTGGACAGAGTTAGTGACAGGAAGAGAAGAATGAAATGAAAAATGGCCGAGTTCTTACTACCTGGTACCAACAACTTCCGTAAGTTCACTTACGAATCCTTGGCTGCTATCGAAAAGAGAATTGCTGCCAAGAGGAATTCTCGAAGAAATACTATAGACCAGAAACCTGAGGAGAAACCACGTCCTCAACTTGACCTAAAAGCTTTCCAGAAGTTACCAGCTCTCTATGGAAATCCTCCTCCAGAGCTCATTGGGGAACCACTGGAGGATCTCGACCCGTACTACAAAGATCGTAAGGTTAGAGCCAACCAAGATGCTTGGATTTTAATTTGGTTTATTGTGTTGCTAAGAAAAGTTTATGTGAATGATTTATCAAACAGTTTTGCTTACATTGCTTTGGAAAAACTACCATCCCTTTCTAGGTTATAATAATGCAGGCAGTTGGCACAGTTGAATGGCATGCTGTAATCTTCTTAAAAAAAGCTTAATTTTGAATTATAGGAATTAAATAAGATGAACTTCATTAACGTTTGAATCAGAATGGAAGCAGAAAAAATAAAATGGATAAAGGAAGAGAAAAGGATTTTGAGTCATACCTACAAGAAATGATGATAATTTTGCAAATTTTCTTAAATTCCATGGTTTGAAACAATGTGTTCCTCTCTATATCAATGCTTATGCTCCACTTACATGTACAATAAATGATCCCCTAAGTATAAAAATTATTATAAAACATTTACTGATGAATCCTTAAAACCTACTTATTCAAACTCCATGTTCTAGTCATGAAGTATTGAAGAATATGATTTTCAATAAAGAACAGAGAAATGGGAACTAATCCATTGGAAATTATGCTTATTGCTTGAGAAATTGTTAATACTTTTAACTAATTTCTACAGTCTTAGAGCTAGAGGAACACTATCAACAATAGCAAATAATGATAAAGGCTGCAATTCTTCCTTCCACCTCTGTACATCTTGACTCAATAAGAAGCTCAATTTATTTTAAGAGAATAGTCATAAGCAAGATTAGTTCTGTGCACAACTCTTTGCAAGTCCCAAGGTTTAAAAAAAGAAGTTCATGCTGAGGATTTTTTTGCAGCTTGATAATTTATGGGTATTAACTCTTCCATCAGTTTATGATGAAAGGATAGCAAAATATTACAAAGAGTCTTCCCATTTAAAAAAACAGACTAAAGTTAACATCAAGCTCTTGCTCATCACTGATACAACAGGATATAGTACAAAACTATGTTCTCTGTTCACTTTCCTGAAAGCTTTACTTCATGTTTCTTTATTTCTTTAAAGATTTTCATAGTGCTAAACAAACAGAAAACAATCTTCAGATTTACTGCTACACGTGCCTTATGGATCCTCAGTCCTTTCCATCCAATCCGAAGAACAGCAATTAAAATTTTAGTACATTCATATCCTTTTGTTGGTGGCATTCGCTCTCTTTCATTGCAAAGAGCTACGTAATCCTGTGCTTTTATATTTTAGAGCATTGAATGAATCTCACCTTTTCTTCACTCCAGATTACTTCTGATTACGAATTACTTCAGAAATTATTATTGTCTTGGGGCTCTTGTGCTACTTAGAAATAAGTAGTTTTGTGAGTACTGGGGATACTGAAGCCTGATTTTCTACAGTTTTGTGTTTTGAGAATGATCTCTGATGTTGATTACCTGATGTCTCATAAACAAGTATCTCATGCTGAAGTCTTTCTCAGTGAGAAGACTAATAAGATCTCTATCCTCTTTCTCATCTTCTGTTTACCCAAACTGAAAGAATTAAATTCAACTCATGTGCCAAACCTGATCAACCATTGGCCAATTTTAAGGAAAAAAGGCTGAGATAGGCAGGCACATGAAGAAAACACATAGAAAGACAAATTATACAAACTTTTTAGGAAATCAGATTAAAAAAATGTATCTTTGGTGTAGGAAAGTGAAGATTTCCAGGGATGCTGTTGCAGGAAATGCCTTTGGAATATAAAGGTAATATAGATCCCACCTCATACATCAAATTTAGGGGATGGGAATCACTAGTGTATTGCTCCAGTTTGGCACAGGGGAATGAGCAATACCAGAGCAATAATGCTGTTGCTTGGGGCTGAATCAGGCCCAGTGCAGGGTCTGTGGATTTTAGGTTTCCAGCCATCTCCTGGCTGTGTGGTGCTGAGTTAGTTGCAATGGGTCCGAAGAGGTCCTCGTAGCAGGGTACAGATATCCCTGGAGGAGTGATGCCTCTCATCTGAGGCTTCCCCCGGCAGCAAGTTGGCTGATACTGGCATTTCAATACTAGTGGTCCAGCTCCTGGGTTTGTGACAGTTTGACCATGTCTAGAGCTAAAGCCAGGAGATTTTTTTTGTGGTGATGGAGAGGATGGATGATGGAAAGGCTAGATGGACATCTACCTCCTGGATTGCCAAAACGTGTGGTATGACACAAGGCATGAGATTCATCTCCAGAGCCAAGTGCTTAAGCTTAGGTGAGCTACACGTGAGTTAGATGCCCACGTTCCCATTCATCCCCCACAGTCAGCAGGTCCCAGAGAGCAGCTGGGCAGCCCCAAGAGTTGGCTAAACATGGGCATCTAGGGTCCTTTGAGATACCTGCAAGTATCCTGGCAGACTTCACATTGTCCTTCAGAAGAGCACAGCTCTGCCAATTTAGAGTCAGGTTTGGGCTTCATCTGTGTGACCTTGGGCAAGTTTTTAACTTTTGTGTTATAAAGTGAAACTAAAAATGCATCCTTCCTCCCACTCTTTGAGTGGTTGAGGATCCTATTACCAAGTTTGCAATGCTTAGAGCAGCAGATCTCTAGCCCATACAGAAGTCCAGATGACACGAATAACAACAGTAGTGTGTTGTCATCTAACTCAAAATCAGCATATACATGTGCATGCTGTTCTTACATGTGCTTTAAACTCAAAACCAGATACTGCATTTATGACTGATAGTTACATCTCTGAATCAATGTCGCATTCTTTGCCTTCACTCCCGTGACTTACATTATTCACTTTGTTTATCATGTGCACTATTTTAACTAATTGTGTATTCATGGCTCTGACCGAGTCCTCTAAGGTTTCTCCATCTTCTTCGTGGAACAAGTATGTTGAGTAAGTATCTGTGGGTACGTATTTTTTTTAATTCTGTAGTTATATTGAATTATTGAGACTTATCTTGCCACTTTCACTCAAGACAGTTTATGGGGGATTTAGAAGGAAAGTTGCTTGTGTTAGGACTTTGTCATTTTTTTTGCTTTCAGGGAGTATTTTTGTCTTTAAACTCTACAAAAATTGTGGTGTTATAGGAAAGAGTAAGTGTAGATTAAGTTCTGCACTTAAACTAGCTTCATGTCTGCCCTGCTGCTCCAGTTTATTATCCCACTTTCTGAAGTTATTCAGTAATTATTTGCGCTTTACCCAGACACATTTCCCATTGTTGCTGATGCTGATGAAGCACATCAAGAGCTGTTGTCTTTTAAAATTCTTTCTAATAATATTGAAATGCTGAGTTTTGCTCTAATAAAACATTCCATCAGAAGCTCCTGGCCTGCAGGATGTTGTTAGAAAGTAAAGCTCTCATCTTCAGCACTGCCAACACTTGCAATGTTAAGTCACAGTAAATCCATGCCTTTGTAGTCACACTTAAGCTGGATAATCCCATGTTTTTATTTTCTTTAAAAGAATATTTCAGCTCTCACTTTTTCAGTTTGGCATAAAAATACTAGAATATGAACCCTGATAATTCTAACACCTAACGCAAAGGAAAAGATCCCAAAATACTTAGTTTTAGAAACAGCTTTAAAGTTGTTTCTGACTATCTCATGTTACATGACACTGAAACAGCTGGGAATGGCAAATCCTCATGCAAGCAGGAACAAGACTCTGCATGGTATTAATATACATATCTCCAGGAGATGCTGGGATACTTCCCTACTTACGAGAGCAGAAAGGTTAGATAAGAGTTGTATCTGCTGTTGGCATCAAAACTACTGTTCAAATGCTTTTCAATAATAATTTCAGAATACTTCTTTCCAAATGAAAAGGGAAGCACTACCTCCATATAATTTCTTAGTGCATTTGCTGACTACCAAATGAATGCCTTTTGAATTCCGTAGGGAGATTGCCCTCTTGTTGAAATGATAAATGCACTTACTAAGTCCAGAAGAGCTTTTACTGATAATTTTCCATTAATAAGAATAATTGCCGTCTTAAACTGAAAATCCTGTACTCTTGTATTTCTCTAAGTGTTTCAAACATTCTGCACAGAAATGGATGTTGTGTGCTCAAGGTAAATAATACACAGCATATCACACATTCACTTGGCCTCTTGAAACCAGAGGAAGATACAAATTTTGATCTTTATTTTAGCAACTAGCTAGGAGTTTTGTGTTTCTCAAATTATGGGGACTTGCATGAAAGAGTTTGAAAAAAATTGCTGAATGCCAAAAAACCATGTCACAGGTGTGCACATTTATAGCCATGTCCAGACAGTCAACTACTGTCTCAAACTCCAAATGAGTCAGATACTGATAGAATACGCTGAAATCAACAGCAGTCTTTCTGTTACTTCTCTGCAGCATTGGCTTGGTTTGTTGGCCTAGACAGTACATAGTCTGACTGTGTCTCTTTTGTTAATTGCTAATATTGCTGTTTTCCTTTGGTGCTTTTCTCCTTTCTTTAGATTTACTTTCACTGGCATTTACACTTTTGAATCATTGATAAAAATATTGGCAAGAGGATTCTGTCTAAATGAATTCACTTTCCTTCGAGATCCCTGGAACTGGTTGGATTTCAGTGTTATCGTTATGGCGTAAGTGGGAACATATAAAATATGGATTACCTGCGCTCTGTATTTGAAGTTCTTGTTGCTGTAGTGCAAAAGACTGTCTACAGTGCACAAATAAACCCCTGTGGGTCCTAACTGCATCTGAAACTATCTAGGATATTGACTCTTCCCCTTGTTTTGTTGCTCACTTTATAACAACAATGTATGAGTCTTCCAAGAACGGAATAGAGCTGTGCAGAGCAAGATATACTCTGTGGTGAATGTACGTGAACGGATGCGTTTCACTGATTGAAATGTAGTAGCTGGGCTGCCAAATACAGGCATACTGACCCTGTGAATGAAAGTGTAAGTTTGAAAATAGAGCGATGTGTATAGACACCAGGACAGTGGATTAAATCTGGGGCTCTTTATCTCCAAAAATCATAGTTTGAGCTTCGATTTTCAGTAATTAGAAAGCTTTTATATTGATTAGATGTAGCTACAGAAGGGAGATAGATAGAATCAAGAGTTCAGCCAGTGTTTCAGCCTGAAATGAATAATTTTGAGTGTTATCTTTGTTTATATTTTAAATACATGATACTTTAAGATGCTGACACAAAAGCAGCTGTGCACAAACCAAGAGCTACCTAAGGAAACTCTAATAATCAAAAAATGGGTTTCTATTTTATAAGTCTTTGGACAAATCCTTGATATGCAATTTATTAATACTTTAAATATGCTTGGAAGTATTGACAGTTAAGAATGACCACTGTAAAATAATTTCTCTGTTTACTCCGTTCAACCACTTGACGTATCACATCCTGACTTTACAGGTACGTGGGAGCCTTTAGTAACTTGGGAAGTGTGTCAGTCCTTCGGACTTTCAGGGTTCTGAGAGCTTTAAAAACCATTTCAGTAGTCCCAGGTAAGAAACCCTGTTTGCTGAATATTTTCTGCTACTTATAACCAATTCTTGACTCCAATCAAAATGTCGGCTTTTGCTTTTTCTTTTTTTTTTCTTCCTTTTTTTTTCCTCTATATCTTTCATTGGTTGCAGACACAGCTGAATTTGTGGACACAAATAGTGTCTCAGTCCACTGGCCCAACCAGAATAAATCAAGCATTAGAAACAATCTCGTATTTAATTTATTTTCATTATGCTTTTAAAGATTTTGTTAACACTTTATTATGTCGGTTTTACAGAATGTTCTTTTAGCTGGTCTATGTGTTATAGTTCAACATGACTGAATGGACTTTATTGTTAATGATCTTTATTATTAATGTGAGTGTGTGGAAGATAACTTCCTGACGC